CATCTTCGTACTTGTATGAACCACTTAATCAATGATAATCAATGTAGTTTCATACAAGGGCATCAAAGTAGTGATAATATTATAATAGCCTAAGAATTCATTCATACCATGAGGAATAAAATGGGGAAAAAAGGGTTTCATGGCACTTAAAGTCGATCTTGAGAAGGCTTTTGACATATTATCTTGGAAGTTCATTGATGACACTCTTAATTCTATTAGGATTAATAGTTACTTTAGAACATTAATCCAAGCAACCATCTCTACTGCATGAATGCATGTCCTTTGAAATGGAGATCCTTCTAAGGAATTCACACCTTCACGTGGTATCCATCAAGGGGATCCTTTTTCTCCTTATCTTTTCTTTTCTTTACATTAAACGCTTAGGCCATTACATTAATTATAGCATTGATAATAATGAATGGAGGTCAATTAGACTAACAACTAATGGGCCTCCTATCTCTCATTTATTCTTTGCTGATAACCTTATTCTTTTTGTAGAATGTTCTTTATCACAAGCTATAGTCATGCAACAGTGCCTCTTGGATTTTTGCAATGCTTATGGATAGAAGATAAACACCAATAAATCTAAACTCTTCTGGTTGAAGAATGTCAACATTAATAGAGCTATGCAAATTAGTCATGAGTTAGGAATTCCTCTCACAGGAAATCTTGAAAAATACATTGGAATCCCTATTATTCATGAAAAGGCTTCTAAGCTTACTTTTGCCCCTCTTCTTGATAAGATGAACTCTCGATTAGCAAACTAGAAAAGTCACTATTTGAATATGGCTGGGAAATCTATTCTTATCAAATTGGTTCTTTTGGTTCTTCCTAGCTATATCATGCAAACCATGCTTTTACCAGACAATGTTTTATTAGAATTGGAAAATACCTCTAGAAATTTCCTTTGGGATTCGTTTGATGGTAACAAAAAACATCATCTACTTTCTTGAGACTGCATTACCATGGATAAAAAAGATAGAGGACTTGGCATTAAGAAGCTCAAAATTCAAAATATTTCCTTCATCATGAAGTTTTGTTAGGGTCTTATCACCAAACCTGACTTTCTTGGGGTGTGGATCTTATGAGATAAATACAAATGCAACAAACCCAAAATTCCAATAGTGGTTAAACCTAACTCTTGTTTATATATTTAGAGTAGCATTTGCAAAGTCTAGGATAAATTCGTGCTGCATGTTGGTTGGAAGATAGGTAGAGGGGATCATATATCCTTTTGGTATGACAAATGATCTCCACTCCCATAACCCCTTGTTAAATATGCTTTCCCCAATGCAGATTCTATTCTTCACACTAAGAGTTTATGACTTTTGTAACAATGAAAGACTATGGAATATTAACCTTTTAAGTCATTATCTTCATCTTAACATCATCAATTAGATCTTGCTTGTGCAGACCATTAATCAACAGAGAAGATATTCTATTTTGGAGGGCGTCCTCTGATGATAATTTTTCTATCAAATCTGCCTATAAAGCAATGGATAATTACAATGACCAAAATCATTCTAAGATCTAGTCTAACATTTAGAAATGGCCTACATATGAAAAAATTAGATATTTTCTTTAGAAAGCTACCTGGAATTGGCTACACACTCATTCTTCCCAACATAGCAGCTGCCCCTTTAGTTGTAATTCTTCTAACTCTTATATTCACATCTTAAGAGATTGTAAAGAAGATAAAGATGTTTGGGAAAAGTTGGTTAATCTTACAAAACTTAACATCTTTTTCTCTCTTGGTTTGCAGGACTGGATAAATTAGAATTCAAAAAATGGAGTAGGCAGATCGAATACAAGAAGAATAACTTAGCAAATACTTTTCACCTAAACTTGTTGGAACATTTGAAAAAGCAGATGTAAGAAACTCTACTCTAATGACGAGGCCTTAAACAGTGACATTGCTTTCTCCAGTACTGAACAAATCAACAATGATCTCAAGCTTCTATTTAAATTCAATCAACTAAATAAAGGAGATGCTACTTATGATACCAAATGGAGTCCACTTAAACATGGTTGGATTAGACTTGACACAGACGGCTCTATTAACAACTATGGCGCTCCTGCTTATAGAGGCATCATCAAAGATGATAAAGGGAATTGGATTAAAGGATTTTTAAAATTCCTTGGTTACCATCCTAGCACAGAGGCAGAACTTATGGAAATATTTGAAGGACTTAACCTTTGCTGGAATGAGAGATTATTCAAAGTTAATGTCTACTCGAACTCAATAGAGGCGCTATCTCTTATTAGTAATAACCACCCAGGGAATCACCATTTATTCGACATTATCAAGATGATAAGAGATCTCACTATGGGGGATTGGGTGGTCACCTTTGACTATGTCAATAGAGAAGAAAATAGATGCGTTGATCTCTTGGCTCACCAAGTAATACGCAACAACTTTGATATTCAGATCTTTGATAAATCGCCGTAAGATTGTACAACCCTTTTGGCCTTAGACATGATTAGATTTTAATCTTTTTACATAGTTTTCTATGGCCTTGTATTAAAAAAGTAGATGAAAGACACATGCAAGCACACAACCACCACACCACATGCACACAACCACCACACAAACTATTAGATTGGCTTTGTTGAAGTACTCTAAAAAATGTAAAAATTTAATCTAGGGTGAATGATAAATATGGATCCTTGAAAAATATGAATGACATTTTACATATGAAATAACTATAATTTATGATTTAAACTTCAAGAATTTACTACTTAAACATTTTTATTTTTCATTAATTTTTTATCGAGTTTTTAATTGTCATTTTCCCTTTAAGTTATTAGGGAGTTAATATATAATTTGCTCAATTGATTTTATATTTCTTACAAATTATAATATTTTTGAATAAAATATATTATTTTTTGGGTTAAAGTGTTTTACTACAAATAAAATATAGTATAAACCGTTACCGACCTTAGTAGTAGTTTCGCGAATTGCTACTATATGAAGTGTAGCAAGCAATATAGTAATGGTTTCCCAAACTACCACCACCATAGTCATACCATTCAAAATGAGGAGAAAGAAAAGGCTTAGGGTGGTTAGGATTAAAGGGTTGTGTGAAGACCATAGTCCAAGTAAAAGTGTTAGAGGGATCCATGATAGGATAGGCTCAAGGGCTTTAGGGTCAATAGCTAGTACTTCCTTTGGTGCTTTTTCTTGCCTTTTCTCAAAATTCAATTAGCCTTCAATAGCAATATGTTAAGAGCCTTATTCAATTAAGGCAGCCCCTTCTTCATAGATAGTCTTCTCAACCAAGATAGGGATAGGCTTTTTATGAGGTTTGTGAGTTTTGGACTTAGGGTGAGATTTCTTCCTTTGAAAGGTTTTTGTAACAGATTGAGCACTATGAAGAATTGAGGGTGAGGTTAAGGGATCTAGCATGGAAGAGGGTGTTCTTGGTTCACAAACATCGGCTGTGAGTATCCTAACAAGGTTATTGGCAGTTATATCAATAGTGTCTTCATTGCAAGCTTTTGTGAATGTTGGTGTATTAATGGATTTTGGTGAGGGAGGTAGTCGTGGTTCAAGCATGCCATTAAATAGATGAATGTAAGTTTATCTTTTGTTAATGGCTTTGGTTTATAGGTTGAGACTCAAACATAGGTTATTTGTGAACACCATATTTTGTCCAAAAATTTTTTAAATTTAATAATAAATAATCAAAAATATAAAAATGCAAAAATAAAATTTAATCCTTTTTAGGATTATATTTTCAAAACAAAAAAAATTTAATTGATAGGGTTTAATTTTATTTTAGATAATCTTTTATTGGTTAGGTTTTAGTTCTTTTAGTTCAAAAATATATATATATATGAAAAAATTTTAATCCTTTTTTATGGTTATATTTTCAAAAATATTTGTGTCTTAATCTAATTTCAGAAATTAATAAACATAATAAAAAAAGAAAAGAATTATAGTTTTTTTTTAAAAATAATATTCCAAAATCTCTCCACTCGGTTAGACATAGACAAGAAAGGAAAAGCAAGAAGTAGAGCAGCACACACGCAAGGACAAGAATTCACACACAGAAAGAAAACTGAAGGAACAGACAGCAAGCAAACCAGAAAGAAAATAGAAACAGAAGAAGCAGAGGTGTGCGCTGAAAAAAACTGAAACACACAAGAAAAACACACAGAAAGGTAGCCATGCAAAGACACACACACTCACATACATGAAATAGCAGAGAAAGCAGATGTTACAGCAAGGAAAAAGTGAGATGAAATAGAGCAAAAATGCAACACCTGCACGCCAGCTGAAAACAAGCATAGAAAAATGCAGAAAAAGGAAAAACACATAGCCACACGAAAACAGAAAGCAGAGCATAAAAGAGATGAAAAAAACATAATAACGGAGGGGAAGCAAGTCTGAGAGAGAATGGAGAAAAAACTAGAAGAAAGGAGAGAACACAGCATGCACACAGAAAAAATAGACAGTAGGGAACGGACGAGGGGACTGAGAGAAAAATTGGAACTGGAGAGAGAAAACCAGACAGAAAAAAGAACAAAAAAACACAGCATAAAAAATAAAGAGAGAGCAGTGACCGAACGTAGGAAATGGGAGAAGCTTGAATATAGGTGAAGAAGAGAAAAAAACTGAGGAAGGGAAACGGACAAGAAACACATCAGAAAAACAAAGCATAAGAGATGGATCCGAGATAGAGAGAAAGGGGGAGCACTGAGGAAGAAGACTGATCCGAAACTAAAAAAAAGTAAGAGCCAAGGATGATAGGAAAGAGGGAGACCGAGAAAAATAAAGACGAGCTAAGAACACGAGAGTGAGAGGAACGGGAGTTTGCTGAAAAGAAAACAGAGACTGAGAGAAAAAAGAAACGAAGAGAGGAGAAGGAGGGATGACGAAAAAAATGCATAATGCTAGAGAGTGAGAGAAAGAAGTAGAATAGGAAGAGGAGAGTGAAAGTGTGAGACTATGTGCAATGCGAACGAAGCATACACTAGCAAATTCCCCATCCTACTTTATGGCTGCCTCCAACGAGGCTTTTATTCTCACTGATGCACCAGCTATGCTTCCTTCATGGCTTTCTAACTCTAGTAACACTTTAGCTATTAGGCCACCCTCCTCTTCTGTGATGCTAAGTCTCTCTCCCTCCACTATGATTGCTTTATCTCCATTTCCATGGTTACAACCTAAGAGAATGCCAGAGAATACTCCTCCTATCATTCAAAATGCAACACCTCATGGAACTACTTCAGGTTTTGGTGATAACATGCTTGTATCTGAGCTTGATGAATACTATAAAGAGCTGGAAGAAGGTCACCAGGCAAAGTAATCACATATAAAGGAAGCAGTGTAGAGGTTAAAGAAGATAAGGGCAATGATGGGGCCACACTGGAATCATAGGCTGTGGCAACTCGAAATGTAGTCAATAGCAGTTAAATCAGGTAATATTTAAGTTATACCATCTCCCTTGATCTGGATTCATTGATGAACAATGAACATATATATATATATATTTAGTAGATATTATGAGTGCAGACTGATCCAGATATATGTTGAGGCATTAAATGTTTTTATGTAGAATTTATAACATATCTGAGAGGTATTTGACAAAATAAAAAACAGAGAGCTTGTGAGAATATTGTTGATAATTTTGTGGGGTGATTGTGGTTTGAAGTCACGTCTATCATGGTTATAATCTTGCTAAAAGTATATGCTAAATCTGGATTTTTTTTAGAATATACCCTCAAGTTAAGAATAGTAAATTGTCAAAATAGTTTATTTTTTTATTCTTTCCATTACCTTTATTGTATGAATTGTTTAGTTAACCACAATATTATATACCGACTGCAAATGCAAATATTTCAATTATCTATTTGTCGTGTGAGATTTTAAGAATCTCCGTAGGCATTTAGAATGATTTCATATCGTGTAAATCAATAAGATTTCGTAGGTATGAAGATCAATTTTGTAGATATTTATATGGGTTCCAAAAGGCCATTATTAAAATTAATTCTCTCTTGATACTAAATATTTAAGTCTCATGTGAGATTTTAAGAATCTTCGTAGAGACTTAAATTAATCACATTATCGTGTAGGATAATAAATCCTCACAGATATCGTGATTCACAATTTACATGGTAAATAAATGAATTTTGTAAATAAAATAAAAAACATTTTTATAATTTTAATTAATTAAATTAATGAATTTAAATTATAATTATATTTACCCATTATATCTTTTGGTCATGCGAGATTTTTGAAACTTCGTAGACTTTTAAGATAATCGTACTACCGCGTGAGTCAATAAGACTTTACAGATATAACGATTAAATTTTTAAAAAATATATATAAATTATATATTAAATTAATCAAATTAAGGATGTATTTAAATAAATTTAATTCCTTTATCGTGTGAGATTTTAAAATCTCCGCAGATATTTAGGATAAATCATATTACAGTATAAGCCAATAAGACTATACAGGTATGATGATTAAAATTCTTTAAAAACATGTATCTACATGCTAAAAAATTATTATGAACACTTAAAAATGTACATAAGAATATAAATAAACAAATTAAATTGCTAAACTCTTTTATCGTGTGAGATTTCAGAATCTCCACAGATATTTAGAGCAATTACATTACCGTATGAACTAATAAGGTTTTGCAGGTACTGCGATTAAAATTTCCAATCATAAAACATAAAGAAAAATAATTTTAAACCCTTTCTTTTCTTTATTAAAAATTCAAAAATGGAGAAAATAATTAAAATTAAATTACCTTTTGTAATTTAAAACATACATATCAAAATTTTAGAAATTGTTTTATTTGCAAAATGGTGAATTATTTCTAATTAATTTCTCTTCAAAAAAATATTTTTACCAATAAACTTTTAAGCCCGAACTACGTGGACCTTGATCTCCATCACAAGGTACATAGGCCTCAGAGTCAGATTCTAAGTCAAGTCCGTCCTCCTTCATATATAAATAAATATTTCTCATCTAATTCTTATCATTTTTATCAAACGCATGAATATAAAAGGGATAATTAAAATAATTATAAAACCATATTAATAGAGCACAACAAACTTCAGGTAACCGTTTTGACGAACGGGTGTTGTGGGGTGCCTAACACCTTCCCCATACTCAACTGACTCCCGAACCTATTCTCTGATTATGTAGACCACCCTTATCCTCCATTAAACGGTTTTCTGAGATTTACCTTAAAATCTCGGTGGCGACTCCTTGTTCCGTTCGGTTCCCGCCACGAAGGCCGAGACCTCCGCTCGCGTGCTGTCTGCGTCGCATTTTTTTTGGGTGCGACATTATTGTTCAGGTTGTGTGTTGAGTCTCTTGTTATGGGTTAAAAGATTTAGCTTTTGGCTCAAGTAAGTTTTGGATTTGGTCAAGTGTCTCTTGCTTTTTTTCAAGAGGTAAAGGCATTTGGAGCGGTGAGTATGATGGTGATTGGGTACCAAGGTTTAATCAAGTTTTTATTTTTAGTCAGGTTATAGGAGTTCTTAAGGTTAATGATAAGGAGAACTCATGTATAGACCCTTCTTTGAATATTGAGGGCCCAGCTTCCATTCTTCTACAAGCACCTTCATTCTATTTTTTTTTTGTTATGCCCAAGTGTTGCACAATCTTGTGTAGTTTGCCATTTAAGTACAGTATCATTTCTCCAAGTCCAGTAATGTCACTCTTCAAGTGTATCATTGCTTGGTCCAATTTTCCTTTAATACCTTTTAGAATCTTTTAAAGAAAAGCATTAGACATATCACCTTGAGGGATAAGTGTAACCCTTCCTTATCTCCTCAAGATATAGGAAAGGATTAACTTAATTAATACTCGAAAACTCAAAACATAATTGATCAATAAGTTTGAAAAGATTGGGCCCAAGATTTATTTTGAAAAATTATTAAAATCATAGCATATTAGAGCAATGTGCAGCAAAAATATATCATACGCATTCATATCAGTCTTTGCATTCTTTCAAAAACAAGAATTAAGGTCAGATTAGGGGCCATGAGCCGCGGCATGTGGCACTAATAGAACACATTTGTTATCGACTTTTATTTTTCAATTTGAACTCTTTTATTAATGATTTATCACCTTCAAGTGCACACATTACATTAGATTTGAAATTTTGCCTAAGTTTTTAGGTTTAGTGCATTAGGGGTATTTTGGTCCAAAAATGAACTTTTGAGAAAATGTACAAGAAAAATTGAAAAAGTTCATTTTATGTCTAGTTGATGAGTGATGAAATTATACTTTTTTAAATTCACTTTATTTTGGGAGTAATTAAATAAAAAAGTCAACACTTTCTTAAGTGTCTTAGTTTGACCTAGTTTTGGGTTTGCCTTTGTGTGAAAATTTATTATAATTTTGTGCAGCATAGAACTTTGTTATTTTAATAAATTATCCCTTCTAATTATGAATTTAATTCAGAACATTAATTGGATTTTATTATGTCACATGCTATTTGATTGAATTATATGATTTATGTGACATAGGTGGCATGCGACTTGTGTATCAATTGGGCAATTGAAGTCAACACTCCTTAAGATCAAAGCTGAAGATTTTCACGTGAATTAAGCTTTATTTGGGGATTAAATTAGCTTGAAAATGTGGATGGCACATTGAAAATTACACACATATTAGAATCATTTACCAACTAATAGGAAGTTGCCACCTTGCAAGTGTGACAAGGCTCCCATTTTCCTTTTTATTTTATTTTCTTATTTTTTTAATTAGTATTAGCTAATAGGAAACATCTTGAACACACCATTCAGCTCTCCAATTGAGATCCAACACCCATTCACTCATCTTCTTCATTTTCTTTCACCTATTCATAATGTTCTTCATTTTCTCTCAATTCTCTCCCTATACTTCGACTCTCTCTCCTCTATATCTCTCAATCTAACCATTCAAATTTAACCAAATCACCATCATTCTCTTCCTCTCTTCCTCCTCTACAAAATATAATAGCTCTTAGAAGGATCAAACCTTGTTTGATTTAGGCAAAATTCATATGAAAAGGAGCCAAAATTTTAGAGCTTCAACTTGGAGATTACTTGAAGATGTAAGGCTAAATTCTTGAAGGGGCTATTATGTAGAGGAAGAAACCTTGAATTTGTATTATTTTCTAGTTAGTTTTGAATTTCTTCTCTCTACTTTTCTCTCTCTAGAATTACAAATAAGTATGACTCTTTGATCTTGTGATTTCAAGTGATGATTCATATGATTAGGAGATGCTTGTTGCTACTTGAGTTTTGTTACTTTGAACTCTAGATTTTGGCCTCTTCAAGTTGATTCATAATCTTGGTTAGCTTGATGAGTTTAACATATTTTCTTATTTGTCATAATCTTGCCAACTTGAATGCATGTGAATATCTTCATGAATCATAATCTTGAGCATGTTGATTCTATCATATGTGCTTGACCTAATTGACTCATGTTTGTAACACTTTAGTTAGGCTTAAAGCTAACTTTACTTTGGTTCACTCTAAGATCATAATCTTGGATTAGGGTTGGTCAAGGTATTAGCTAAGTCTTAGTTAATATAACTAAGTCACTAAAACCAAAGAGAAAAGAGAAGAAACCAAACTAGCTAGGTTGTAATCAAACAAGGTTAGGTGACCAATTTCACATAGGAGTTCCTACTTTTAATAGATTTTCACACGTCCACTTAATTCATTTTAAAATTAGGTTTAATAGCTCAATTAGTTTTGAGTTTAAATCTATCCTAAACACTTTTTAACTTGTAACATACTTCAAACCTAAATTTCTAACTAAGCCTCCTTATAGAGATCGACCTAGGTTCACACTAGTACTACATTAATGTAGCTTAGTATTTTTTTACTAGGGTAGCGATAACCTTAGTCAGGGACAAAGCCACATGCTTAGACCTTCTTTGTGTCATGTGCTGCAGTGCATGTAACATCAGAAAACTTTAAATCTGGAAAAAATTGATTAATTAAGGGATAAATTAGTTAAAAATATGATTAATTTATTTAATTATGTTTTTGGGGTTGCTAATTAGATTTTTGGGTCATATTTGGCTCTAAATTGAGTTAGGATCAAGTTGGGAGGCATCAGGGGGAGCAAAATTCACTTGTTGCTTGTAGCATCGTGAGTCGCGGCTTGCATGGTGTGCACTGTGGCACACGGCACAGCAGGCAACTTAAAATTTCACAAATCATCAGAAATTGACAGATTTTAGGGTGGAAAACCTAGAACACAAAGGGGGAAACTTTGGGCACTTCTAGGGCATCAATTTGGGAGGATTTTGAAAATAAATTGAGCCTTCAAACTCTTGAGTGAGTTTTC